CTTGGTCATCTAAGTACTTCAAACCATTAATACATATAGTTAGCTAATTATTTATACTTCGTAGCCTTCTACACATATAGGGTTCTCTGCATCAGTGCTTCCGCCCCATGAAACTGAGGGATGACACTTTGCGCTGTTTGGTGCTCACCGACTCCACGATTGCGACCCTTCCTCGCCTCAGCGGCCATGTACATCCCCCTTGATGGGTTTCGCACGATGATGCTGTACCCTGTAAGCAATGCCGTTAATGTAGCCGTAACTTTGAATGGTCCCAGTGGGAAGGAATCTACTATTTGAGGTCACTCTCGTGTTGATCCCGATAACGCGGGCCTCATTAAATGTGAATCCGTCGTCATCTTCGTTTTGAATGGCTTCATAACTGAATTAGGGATGCAAAAGAATAATAGCGACTTCCTTAATACTAATTTTGCAGTTTTTGTCTCTCGCTCCAATGAGCATAGCTACAAATGAGATAAAGGAAGGCACAGAAGTGGCCGTCTCACCCTGAATGGGCATGTCTGCATTTCTCGGAACGTTGCGTACAGATCCATACTTGAAATGACTTCGTTCGACACTCGCCCGGCTTTCACTGTACCTGGCTGCCAAGCGATGAATGGAATTCTAAAACCACCTTCGTACGAATTTGATTTTCCTCCTGAAATGAAGTCTCTATATGAGGACGTGGGAATGATGCACGAATGAATTTGTACCTTTAAGGCCAGCTGTCGAGCCTCCGTTAAGGCAGAGCTCAATATGTGGTCCATGGTCTGACATCAATACGACAAGGGTGTTCTCGGCTATCCCAGCTTTGACAAGACTATTCAGAACTTCGCCAACTGCCCATGACATTTCATTAATTGAATCGCCATAGATGCCTGGAAAAGTGACTTTACAGTGATAAGTTGTGATAAGTATAAGTAAGACTTCACGATAACTAAAGTAAGCGGCGGAGTTGTTGGAACGGCAAGTGACACGCTTACCGAGCGCGCGCGGTCCGTGGTCAAATTACGGATCGGCTCTAGCGCAAGCTAACCGAGGCTTTTCCTCACCAGGGACGGTGAAGTGTCAGATTTAGGGTCTGTTGAGGGAAACTGGCTCATCGGTACCACCTCCCCTCCCTGAAAGTGGGTGACCGCTTCTCTCCTTTTGCTCAATGAAAAACGGCATAAAAATAACTAGTGAAATTCTGAGAGGACATGAACCGGTGGGTTCCTCTTCTTGGTGGGCGGAGAGAGAGGGTGGGGGGGCGTCGCGTCATCGGTCATTGCGAGCGCACCTGACTTATTAACCTCAGAAGCTTTTCGAAAGCGTTGTTATACTCTCTCCCAGACACAACGTTTCTAACAAAAGCAATTAGGCCTAGCTCTATACTCAGTAAAGCTACGGTAGCTATGGCCTAGAGGGGAAAAAAAGGGGACCACCAGCTGGTGGGGTTCGGCTCATACTTGAGAAAGGCTACGGTTGCTTTTTTCACACGGAAAAAAAGGTGCCATGGGGCTAGCTAATACTTAAAGGCTACGGTAGTTCCGATCGCAGACGCCGATAAATTTACGTTTCTTTAAAAGCGTTCACAATTACACCCAAAAGTGATAATAGGAATAGACGTAGAATTTGTCATGAAGAAAAAACAGTTACATAGTTACTTCCGGTGAGAATAGTGGATTCATCAACGTGCTGCTACTTGACCCTGAAATTGTCAGTAGCGACATGTACACAGACTAGGGGAGACATGGGCCTACACGTGTTATCGAGTCGGTCTTCGAGAAGAAATTCATAAAATGAAACTCTCTTTTGCAGTTTTGTCCATCTCTTGTAAGGATTGCGGCGCGCTTTACACTTCCACTCGAAAATTGTAGTTGGCTAATTGCATGCCGAATGTAAGGCTGCGCGTTTATACTAGATGCGCGCAGCGTAGCGTAGCGTAGCGCAGCGTAGCGTAGCGCTTCCAGCGTACGCCAGCGGCAGTGCCGAAGAGAGGATGCATATCGATCTAGCTTCACCAGCGTCACCAGCGGCACGCTGGCGTACGCTAGCGTACGCCAGCGTTTCTCCAGCGTTTCACCAGCGTTTTGCTAGCGCTTGCAGCGGCAGGGGAGTAGAGACTATGTGGCCGTGAGAGGAGCAGAGAGAAGCGGAGTCGGCGTGTATTGTAGAGACCATATGGCCGTCGGAGACGCAGAAGCGATGTGCATTGTAGAGACTATGTGGCGTCGGAGACGCAGAAGCAATGTGCATCGTAGAGACTATGGGGCCGTCGGAGACGCAAGAAGCGATGGTGTGCATTGTAGAGACTAAGGGCGAGTGAGAGACGCGCAATCGATGTGTTTTGTACCCTCCAGCTCTCCCATAGTCTCTACTCCCCTGCCGCTGCAAAGCGCTAGCAAAACGCTGGTGAAACGCTGGAGAAACGCTGGCGTACGCTAGCGTGCCGCTAGCGTACGCCAGCGTGCCGCTAGCGTACGCCAGCGTGCCGCTGGTGACGCTGGTGAAGCTAGATCGATATGCATCCTCTCTTCGGCACTGCCGCTGGCGTACGCTGGAAGCGCTACGCTACGCTGCGCTACGCTACGCTACGCTGCCCGCCCAAGATAACGCAGCCTAACCTGTCCAATTGCTTAGGGGCGCGAGAATGGGGGCGGGGGGGAGGGGGATGCCGTGGCGATGCCACAAGTGAGTGGTTCCCCTCTAATCTATAGGGATTCTCTGTTACCAAATTTACTGTAGCCAGCATGGGCTCTAATCTCCGCCGAAACGCACACGGGAGGTAATCGTGCCACTTTCCTCGACACCTCCGTTTCAAGGATATCGTATCATTTAGAAACTACAACTTCATTGGCCCCATGAAGTTAATAGAAAGAAAATGTGGTTAGTTTTGCTTTTGTTGTTTTTTTACGTACTATTGCAGTGTATAGTCAGTAAGTAGTAAGAAAACTCTGGAGTTACAACTCCACGACTAAAAGGGTTGGTCAAAAGCTCTCCGAGAGGACCAAACAAATTACCAAGGTAGGATGGAATGCAAAGGCTAGCCAACAGGCGAGATTTTCTACTAACCTAGCATATCAAACCAAACTAACCTCGAACGGATGAACCACGAAAATCAGCGTTTGCAAACTGGGCGCTGTGAACTTGTGGGAATGAGAAGTAGAAGAAGAACGGCCGCTCCTTCTGATCCTGAAGAGAGTGTGTTGAGCAAAACAGTGGATAAAAGTGCTTCGGAAAATGCTCTCTGTTACAAGTAATGCAAGAGAAAACCAATTAGAAAGACAGTGATTCCCCGCGACCCGACGCGAGTCACTCAGACGATTTGAGAATTGCGCGATTGCAACTAACGGTGCTCCACTGCTAATTATCGGGATTCGGTCGTCTGTGCTCTTCTAATTTTGGGAGCGCCAATTGTTTCTCTGAAAGGTTGAATTCGCAGCTGCGGAGCAGAAACTGCACATTCAACGGTTAGACGTTATTCTCGTGGCGGTCGAAATGCAGGCCCCACTGCGATTTCCGATACAGAGTGCCGCATCTATAGGTGATTCCCGTCGTCGGGTGGGGTCGTACTTGGTCGGTGGGGAGAGTGGTCTAAAGAGGATAGTAGAAGACGATGAAATCTGGGGAGGTCATACTGACACCGCCATCTTACCCATCACGAAGCTGTACCCTGCTCTGGAATTTGTCCTCGTCTGGGCTCTACTAATTTTGGAGAGGCGCCAATTGTTACTCTGAAAGTGTTTTGGAAATTGCAGCTGCAGAGATCCAACGAATAGTGGAAGTTGCAATAGCGGGACTGAGTCCCTCAATTCGCGAAGCATGAACGCGATCTCAGGCGGAATGATATGCTCATGAACGGATGATTAATGAAAAAGCACAACAGAATGGTGACATACCGTGCTCATTCTCATGTTTAGGAATCGTCTCCAATCGTGTACGAGATTTTCGGTCATCCATTCAAATCGTAGCGGTTGTTGAACGATGTCGTCTCCGTCGTAGAGAAAACACATAGCTGCATCTGGTCCTTGTGGGTAGAACTCCTGAATAAGGCTTCGTTAAATCTATCTTCTAAAGCAAAAATTATTCTGTTTTTGTTCATAAAAAGGGACCATTTTTTCACTCGATGGTCCTATCTCTACGATCCAAAGCGGTTCCGCGACCGACGGTTGTGGCGACCGATGGGAGCTGCAACTGGACGGGTAATACCTTTCAAAGGGGTACACACTTGGAAAATTCAACCGTGGCTAATTAAATTATTTTCAAACTCACGCAGCTGCGTCATACTGACGCAGACACTGTTGGCGTCAATGAGCTTGTTGGTCATGGTGTCTGGGAGACCGATGGGAGTTGCATAACTTGCAAGAAGATGCAAGAAAAGGCTACTCCAGTTATATGGCCACGTTTTACAAGTAGTGTATGATGCCGTCGCTTTTAAAGGCAGTTGGCACGATGGTTTCCTACTTAGCCTAAAATGCTAGTAGGGCGCTGTATAGTGGGGAAATGGCGAAAGAACGGAGTGAAACGGTCAAAATCCTGCGAAGAAAAAGCCTCCGTTCTCAGTGACTTGTAAATCGATTTCGGACGAGTTTCCCGTAGGCATCTTACCAATCACCGCTACCGAAGATACGGCTGCATATGTGTACTCATATATGCATGCAGTATCACGGCCGCTTCATACCAATCCCTTCGCTTCATAATTTGCTTTAGCAAAATACATGAATTCGAGCGCGGGATAACGTATCGTCCATTTTGTGGGGCGGGCATGGCGTGGCGCGGCGTTTGCGCGACGTAAAGTCTGTGGCTTGATAGGGCCCTTATACCTTCCTCGCGCTATGCAGGCCTGCAGCAGGGTCGCGGAATTCTACCTGCCAGGGTATGATCACGCAGTCGCCTTGAGGGGATTGTATACGTGCCAACTGCCTTTGAGGCCAACGGGTATCTTTAAGTGAGACCGAGACACCACTGGCAGGACGCATACTGAAGCGAACATGGAAATTGGTCACCTCCGCGAAAGTAAGATCATGCAAAACTGGAATCTGACGATTGAAAAACAAGACCCGAAAAATTGGACAAACCTTCCAGGTCCGCGCTCAAACACTGAACAACCTTTGTCCAGCTCGGAAGTGATCTCACAATTAAGCAACTCGGAAATTGTCCCACATTAGGCAACTCCACAATGAGTGACCAGGATGCTACAGCTCGTAAGTTCTGACACTCGCTCAGTTGGGCCGCCTACCAGTAAACGTCCTCTTTACACTTTACGCGGGGCGCTCTATTGCTGTTTGGTGGAGCGGCGGGCATAAATCTGAATTACGTGCCCATTTTTGCTGACCTCACTCACGCTCATGGGTGGCTCGGCCTGGAAGTCTTCTTCAACACCTTTTTTCGTTAGGGGCATATCCAGTCAAAAAGTAATCATTCCACAAGGTGGGACGCGTTCAGTTCACCAAAGATGTAATTGCACTTTTTCCAGAGTTCGTCAGATAGCGTGTCTTCAAATCCCAGTTTTGCACAGGACAGACCGGACCACGTTTAGTCGTAAGTTTCTCTCTATATTTTCGTGATCTCTTCACTGTCGAAAGGTGTTACACACTGGATGACGAGAAGAAACGATAAGTGAGCCAGAGGCGGCAGGATATCGTTTCGATGCCATGAAACCAGCAGATCGGAGTAACTCGTACAGTGAGGCTGCCGCCGAATCAAAAATCGCCGAAATTACCGGGCTAAGTCCGGTAATCTCGGCGATTTCTTTTGTTTTTTTCTTTCCCTGGAGCGAGGATTAGCGATTACTCTAGTTCTTACTGAACGCCACCACCCAAGATGACGGGAGTTGTTATTAAGATGAAGAAGAAGAAGAATATCAGAGTGATGTCAGGGGATTAGGGCTAGCCACTCTTTGAGACTTTCTTAAAGTTTCCAGACGCAGGCACAATACCAACAACAGTAATGCGGCTGCATAATTGTAGGTACATCGTATTCCATATAAAGGATAAAGGATAAAGTCTTCGCCGTTGATCAATCCCTTTGTGGGATGCGGCACGCATTCTACTTCCATTCAGAATCGTAGTGGACTTATTGAATGCGATGTGGCCTAAACATGACTTGCGGGCAGGGCTCGCCATCGTTGTGATGATCACAAGGGGCAGGGGTCGTACTTGACCGCGAGGGAAGGGGGGTCGTATTTGGTCGTTGTTGGGAGAGGGACTGAAGATCTATACAACTACTATTTCCGATAGTTGAAAATGATAGTTAAATCTTGACGACATCCCCCTCCTCCGCTCGACAGCAAAACTTTGGGGAAAACTATAAATTTTTCGGGAAACTCCAGAAAAATTGGGGAAAATCTGAGAAACTTCGCTGTTTCACATTTGGTATAATATACCCCGCTCCCCTCCGTCCTCCTACCCCCCCCTCCCGCTCGACGGAAAATTGAGTGGTAGGAAGTTGGGAAATTCTAGGAAAGTGGTAGGTAGCATGGGGAGAAGGGGGGGGGTCGTATTTTTCAAGAAATGATTACAACGCGATGGCGTGCCCTGCTTGCGGGGCCCAGCTGATGTACAAGTCAGTGTTCTTATCCTCCCAGACGAATCTGGTATCTAGTCACCATCCCCGGAGGGTAGAAGGCTTGGTTGCCTGGGTGGGAGCCAATCCAGGATTTGATCCCCGGGTCGTGCACGTGGTAAGCGTGTCACTTGCCACCACAACCTCTTCCCATGTTTCATATATGAAGTGGTGAGTATATTCTATTGATATAGTATCTGATATTGATGATTGGAGCCAGTATTTCTGGGGAGAAAGAGGTACTTCTTACTATGAGGTGTATAGTCGTGATATGCTACAAAATGTGGGCTCGTCTTGAGTTCTATCTTGAAGGCTCATTGCAGTGAAGCATCCATGGTGAGCCAAAAGCATGAAAACTGTGTTATGAAAGAAGGACATAAGTCTGGGTAAAGAGACATTTCGCCCATGGCACGCACACCTCATTGTTCACCTCACAATGTGTAACTAGACAAATGGAAGACCCAAGATGAAGTATTCCTTCTTGTCTGTAAGCAGGTGAACTCCCCTCTCCCTTCCCCAACTATCTCCACCGCTGCAAGAATGTAAAGATTATTCATCG